CCATACAGTGGAGGTTGTTTGTATATAAAAGAAATGCAGTATTGACTATATTGGAGAAACAAATGGTACAAAGAAGTTCAAATACATTTGAGTTTCAACAAAGAGGGTCTCCTGGTCTGGGACTCTCCATAAAGCACCAAAATATGATTATCTCAGGGTCTTATACTAGTAACAAATGTATCATATCGGTAGTTGGAAAGGTTCCTAAGTAGTATATAAGATAGATGGATCAATCCAATTGTAATTAACTGGAGATAAGTGGATTGTCCATCTATCTTATATACTATTTAGGGTCCCTTCAAACTACGGATGTGAGAAATTTGTCCCTAATATTAACTATATTGGAGAAAACAAATGGCACAAAGAAGTTCAAATATGTTTGAGTTTCAACTGGTCTGGGGCTCTCCGAATATATGTGGGAAGGAGAATATTTTTTTTGTATGGCCTTGTTGGAGAAAGAAAAATCTGCACGACACTGACGAATATTCTGAGACACTTAGATGGATTTGGCTTACACAGTTTTATCACAAAGGATAGTTGGAGTGAGCCATGAAAGAGTACATTCAATGACATCCTGGGATAGATTTCATTCAATTATTTTTTATTTAATTAGTTTTTCAAGAAAACCACTACGTTAAATTAATTGCATTTTCACTCTTTGAGTTCACGTTTTTTCTTAAGAGCACCATTAACGGGATTGCTTGATGAGGTGCTTAATGAATTTTTGATTTTAAAAAAAAAGGAAAAGAAATTAATAAGAGAAGCAGCGCCGCTTAATTAGGCTTCAGAAGCATAGTTGCTTAATGGACACATGTTTGCTCCTTCTTCCTCCTCTCTGAGTTCTTCTTCCTTGTTCGAAACGGAGATGGCGTTTTTTGGATTGGAGAACCGAATCGCGGAAGTAGACGGTCTTGACGCTTGCGGCCACCGTCGGTAACAATATCGGCAAGGTTCTACAGAAGAAGGATACGATCATCCTCCTTCCTCTCTCCCTCAAGCTCAAGGTTTCTCTATCTCTTTTCCTCCCCCTAATGCTCTACATTTCGATTGCATGCTATTTCCGATTCTCAATTTGATGGATCCCTTACGTTTTTCACATCTGGGAAACTCGAATTGGTGATAAAAATCTTGTCTTTGAGGGGTAATTCAATTTGGAGTCAAACTTACGTTTTTGCAAGTATTGCAATTCTGGGTTTCTTTAATCCATAATAATTTGATGGACATTTTTGGGGCTTTGTGGATGCTCAGAGCTCTTTCACTTGCTCATGTAAGTTATATGTTGCCTTTGAGATGTCTAGTTTTGATAATTGGCTCTGCTTCTTTACCTTAGACACTGACTCTTTCGAAACCTGTTGTTAGGTGTCTGTTGTTGATGTGGACTTGCCATTCTTTCAGTCTTTTCACATTTTTATCTCAAGGAAGTCATGAATGTTTTTGACTAGATTGGGATCACCGTCGCTGGCATTGGCACCATAGGTAACATTTTGATGAAAGTAGAGAACATTCACCTGTTATATAATTTGAGGATTATTTCTGCTTGTATGAGTTGGTGCTAGTGGTGAGGAGCAAAAAGCATCTTTGATATATGTCTTCCAGTTACTCTGGCTAGCTCTTGTTGTTGCCTTCTTGTTTTTAGGTACCTTTCATTACATGGTATTTCATTAGAAAAAGTCTGCCTCTTTTGGCATCATCTCACTTCATCGTGTGTTCTTGACTTTGGCTTTTACTTTACATGTATATATTATTTTCAAGTCTGACCACTAGACCAGTTGGTTTTCATTTTCCTTTTCATCTTTATAAGATAATGATGTCACTTCATTGGTGTGGTAATAGCAATATAGCTGATAACTCGTATGTTGATTTTTTTTGCAACAAGGTACTACTAAATGCTTGGCTTCATGTCTATAAACGCCAGCGCAGGGATGGAAGTGATCACCCTTTTGTGTTGCAGGACATTCATCTAATGAAAGTGTCACAGACACATGTTGTAATGAAAGTAGTCTTGAACCCTATTGTTTTGTCATGTGTAGTATCGATGTGGTACTGTAGTTGTGTCATGTCTTTTTTGTGTCATGGACTTGTAACAAGAGTAGTAAATAAACATTGGCATTTTGTATCACAAAAAGAAACATATTATCATGTAAAGAAACAATTGGGGTGCTAGGGTTGGAGGACAAAAATGATGAGATTCTTAAATAGAATGCTTAACATCCATTTATTAATAAAAAAGTGATTAAGCACCTCATTAGAGGTGCTAGGGTTAATGATGCTCTCACATTCTTCTTTTGTCTTACAAAATTTTAAAGAAAAAGACAGAGCTCAAGATCAAAATTCCAAATACTTTCAAATTTAATTTAGATAGTCTCAAACATGAAACACTTGTTCCTTATGAGATTTTATTGCAAGTGTAAGAGATCATCTAAACACTTAAGGGAAATTTTAAACAAAGTTATGATTTCATCGCTTGTGTGACAAGAAATATCTAAAGTTAATGAAAAGCATGATGGCTGAAGAGAAAGGACTGATGTATCAGTTGTGTGACAAGAAATATCTTAGTATTTTATCTGTGTATCAATTGATGGCTGAAGAGAAAGGACTGATGGTTGATGTTGACAGTTTCAACAAAGCCATGAAAGAATCGAAGGATAGATCAAGAAATGCCCAGAAAAATGTCTTCTAACGTTTTCTCTGGCTATACATTTTTGATTTTTAAGTGTTTGATTAGCCACTAACAATGTCGATAATGTGGCAGTAAGCTGGCATTGCCATTTCTATGAATGTTGATGCTACATCAACATTTCTCAAAACTGGCGTTACAGCAACAGATGATTCTTGTAAATACATTTGGTTTCAGGTTTGTCTTATTTATCTAGAGAAATCTGATGTTGCATCTAAATTGCTAAAAAATCATAGAAAGAAATAAGCTAGAGCATGTAGATTTTATAACTTGTTTTATAAGTCTTTATAGATGGTTTATAGACTCCTACAAATAATTTTACATACTCTTATAAATTTTTTTATAATCCTTTATAACATGTATAAACTTTATAAATTATTTTTATAAACCCTTATAAATTATTTACATACCCTTATAAACCCTTAAAAATTATTATACAAATAATTATAAATTATTTTATAAGCCTTTCAAAATGGTTATAAACTCAATAAATGAATTATAAGATATAAATAGAGAGAATGATATACGAAGTCTTTCTTTCACAATCTCTTCAGTGTCATCTGCTGACTACTTATAAATGGTTATATATTCTTATAAATAATATTATAATTTGTTTCTACACCTATATAAACCCTTATTAATAGTATACATACCCCTTAAGAATTATTTATAAACTTTCATAACTTTCTTATAAACATTTATAAATGGTTTATAGATTTTATAATTTGTTTTATAAACCTTTACAAATGGTTTATAGACTCTTACAAATAATTTTACATACCCTTATAAATTGTTTTACAATCCTTTATAATGTGTATAAACTTTATAAATTGTTTTTATACATATCCTTATAAACTCTTACAAATTATTTTGCAAACCATTATAAAATGTTTTATAATCCTTTCTAAATGTTTATAGGCTTAGTAAATGAATTATAAGATAGAAATATAGAGAATGATATACAAAGTCTTATAAATAATTTATAAACAATTTATAAACGATCTAGTTAGCCCTTATAAATAATTTATAAGATATAGTTTATTAATTTCTAAAAATGGTTTATAGAGTTCTAAAATTGTTTATAACCTTTTGAAAAGACTAACTAACTCTAATAAATGATTTATAAAACATTATAAATGGTTTGTAAACCTTTATAAATATTTATAAACGATTTATAAACATTTATAAATTGTATAAATCCTTATAAAATCGTATAAGAAACCTAAGCTCATGTTCTCATAAATATTTATAAAGATCTATAAATGTTTTATAAACTACAGAGTAATAAAATCATGTATGCTGAAAGACTAGCATGCAGAAAAACAATAATGGAAGCACTGAAACAAATAGATTATTTGCTTTTAGGGTGATTATTTATAAACATTTATAAATAAATGTATGAACTCTTATAAGTTCTTGCAAATAGTTTTATACACCCTTTTAAATAGTTTTATAAACCTTTATAAATAGTTATATAGATATTTATGTGTTTTATAAACTTTATAGATGGTTGACACAAGGTTTTATAAGCTCTTATAAAATTTATAAACCCTATATAAACTCTTCAAAACCTTTTATAAACCCTAACAAATCTTATATAAACTCTTAATAAAATTATTTAAACCCTTTATAAACTTTATAAACCTTATAAATTATATATAAAATCTTTATAAGCACATGTAAGTGATTTTGTAAACCCTTTTAAATTCTTATAAACCATTATAATTTTTTTTTAACATTTTGTGATGACTTGAAAACAAAACTTATGAGAGCTACAAAGCAGGTTACATATTTGAATTGCTTGTCAATGGTCTTCCAACTCGAGTTGAGATCACATATGTTGCAAAAGGAAGAAAGTCAAAAAAATTTCACCAAAAATAAACATGATCCTTCTAAACATTTCTTTGTCTAACTATGGAGTTTGGATATTTTTGCAGGGCGAGCTGTGTGATGTTGAACAAAGGCAATCATATAGTTGAAGTTGTTTCGAAGTTGGATACTATCCTTCTATACCAAGATTATCTCTAAGAAACGAGATTTGAATCTTTAGACTGGAAAAAATGTGCTATATACGAGTACAACATTGCAAATTTGCATATCTATTGAAAACACACTCACATAAATAACCTTTTAAAAATGGTTGGAGAAGAGACTAGTTTATTTTTTTATCACAACAACATACACCATAACATAGCCTTTTTCACCTTAAAAGCCTTATTTGATGATTCTCACTTGTGTTTATAGCATTCATCATCTTCTTCATTTTATATATTAACTTGCAGAGACCATATATGTGTTATGTGTAGAGCTACATTGCTCAGTATTAGAAATGTCTCCTTCGAACCCTCTTTTTGCTCATGATTGGCGGTTCACCGCTCCCAGGAAACTCCCATTTCACAAGATTCCCATCCCATGAAGAGCTTATAAGCGTTGGATAATGTGGATGCCAATTACAGTTTCTCACAGGTGAGTTATGATGCTTTAACGCTGCCACTTTATCTCCACTTTCCTAAAAACATATATACATAGATTCCAAGATTGATGAAGAAGGATTCAGCTATTAAACTGTAACATAAACCATAAAGAGCTACATTACCAAGTCATATATGTGGACAGAACTGTCGTTGGATCCTGTGTAGATGTACTTTTGGCCAGTACTGTAATAAAGAAAGATTCAGACACAATGTCAAGAGAGTTAATTCTATGTCAAGTTTGGAACATTATTGATTTGAGTTTGAGAAGACTAACCTATGTGCTGGAGAGAAGTAGCAACGGATAAGAGTACGCAACACTGAGTGACCTTTATATGTGGACACAGACTGATCATAAGGATGCTTTAGATCTCTTGACTCTGAAGGGTAATCCATCCATCTGTAATCCCATTCATAGTTTCTGTGCACCTCATGCCTGTATAACAAAAAATACACAACATTTCTACTTCATTCTAGTTCTACTAATTCCTTGTCACATATCATAAACAAGATGCAACCAATAATGTAGAAGATCGTTGGTACCTTGCAGGTACGGTGGATGACATTTTTCTGATATCCCATAGTTTAATGGTTTGATCTTTGCCATTTGATATGAAATAGCGACCATCTCCACGGCTATCGATAAATGTAACACCTTCGAGGTGTCCCACCAGAACACCAGCTGGCTTATCTCTCCCAATGAAACAACGTCTATCCCACACCTATTTTGTGCAAATGAAGTTTCAACAAGTTCCTTTTAAATTTTTTTTATAAAGACAAAAAAAATGATTGTAACTTACCTTGCAGAGATTATCATCACCTCCAGCTAAAATGAGGTGTCCACTTTCATCGGCGAAACACACAGTATTCACATCAGACTGTAGCAATGGAGAATATGCTATTAATATTGGAAGCAAATTTTCACTGGAAAGCATGAATGTAGAGCTATGGAACCAAATGAAAAATGATTTCTACCGTGTGTGCAACGGTCCGGAGTGAAACTCGATTAGCTTCAAGATCATAGACATAAATGGAATCATCACTGCTACCAGCAACAAGTTCTCGCATAAGCTCGGCTATCCATCTGATCAACAAGCCAAGGATCCTTAACAGGCAAATATCTACTTAAGATATGTCAACGATCAGCTGCAGAAAACCTCCCTCTTCCAGAAAAAGTTACTCTCACGACCAGCCAACATCCTGACAGTGGAAACAGGTAACTGATGTCTCCCAGGGACTTGATGGCTAAACCGCTCATGAGGAGAAACTTCAACTTAGTGACATGGCTGATCTCATGGTCTAAATCAGCCAAACGCTCACTTGATCTGTGACTACTACCACTGCTGCTACTACCAACACCACAGTAGCCTTTTCCAGCATCGATTGTACCACAGTTTAATTCACAATTCACCTGTCAAAAAACATTATATATAAGCAAAAAAAAAAAAGCAAACACTGAAGAACTAAATCAAACAAAACAAAACCCAAGTTCCCAATTAATTGTCGTATTTATGTAAAGGATGCGAGTTTCAAAAAAAAAAAAAAAATGTAAAGGATGCACACAAACAACATCAAAACCCTAATTCACCTGCCAAAACCATATAATCAAAGTTTCATCAATAACAAACTATGACACATCAATTGAACAAAACCCAAGTTCCAAATCAATCAAAGTCGTAGTCTTTATCTTCAAAAACCCTAATTATTGATTCAAAAATGTTTGTACCGAGTTCGGTCGTGTATCAGTGAAATGAGTGACGGGACTCGTCGGTGGGTTATTACAAAGTATAAGTCGAGATGAGCAAAGAGAGAGAGAGAGGTTTTATTTATAATCGGAAAGAGTACAAAGAGAGTTCCCGGTGCTCGGAAAGCTCAACCGAGAGAGCGCACGGATTTGACTGTCACAACGAAATAAACAAGATGATTAACCCTAATCTATGCCGCCATTTAGTGAGTCTAATTTCGGATCCCTTTTCGTGCTCATTCCTTCTCCTTTTATAGCTTGGACTCTCCCTCAATCTTAACCTAGGTCGTCGCCGGCTCATGGGCCTTCGGTATTGGGCCTCTTGTTGGCTCTCCTATGCTTGTACGGACGCCACTCGGGTGCCAACGAGTCATGTGTCCTTGTCAACAATTCTCCCCCTACCGGGCCGAGTTTGTTTTCTTGTGGGCCTTGAGGGGTGGGTACAGCCCACCTCCTACAGTAAAACCCCCAGTCTATTAACGATCCATCGACGAGTTAATAGAATGACTCAATTAGGTTTACAGGAAAGCATACTCGGAGCATGGGAGAAGGTTTCAAAAGCCCCCTTTTATGCAAAGGGTTTACCCGGCAACCGGGGTGGAAGCGGACGCGCTGCTCGTTCGTGTTCAGTTGACCGGTGTTCATGATTTACTCGGTAATCGAGCAAGAACGGTGATTGCGTCGCTTGCTCGCTTTACGTTTGGTTGATGCTTCCCGCGGTTCACTCGGTAATCGAGCAAAAGCGGTGATTGCGTTATTTACTCGGCTTCCGTTCGGTTAATGCGTTTCGCGATTCACTCGGTAATCGAGCAAGATCGGTGATTGCGTTGTTTACTCGGCTTCCGTTCGGTTAATGCGTTTCGCGATTCACTCGGTAATCGAGCAAGAGCGGTGATTGTGTCGCTCACTCGGTTTACGTTTGGTTGATGTTTCCCGCTGTTTGCTCGGGGTGTGTAGAAGGAGAATACAAACCGTCACGAGTGATGGGCTTCTCCCTATAAGACTCGGCCCATTAAGGGCGGAATGCGAACAGTCGCGAAATAAAAAGCCCATCTAGGTCTTTGTAGACCTAATAAATGCAGCACTGAGATTCGCGCCTTACTCTTCCTATATATACCCCTCTTGCCTCAGCTTTTCTCATTCTTCTCCGCGAAATCAGGTATTCTCTCTCCCTTCTCTCTACTTTCTCTCTCTAGATTATTGTAAGATATATACGCACTACCGGTTACGATGTGCCCCCAAAAACGATTGACTCGGGAAGAGAAAGGGAAAGACGTAGCGCGAGATGAGACAACCGGCGAGCCTTTGGACGACTTCGAATTAGAGCATCGAGCGGCGCTGCGTGACTCGGCCAGTCTTGACTTGGCGCAGAGGCTTCTTGTTGTCGACTCGGAGAGGGAGTTGAGGGGAGAGGCTGCCGGTAATGCTGCTGCCGAATTACTTGGCATCCCGCAATTAACTCGGCATCCTTTGGCGCAGCCAGTCAGATCTAACACCCGGAGTCGTGCCATCGGAGCGGCAGATGGGACCCGATCCACAGGTCCTTCTGAGGGTACCCGAGCTGTTGCAAGTTCTCCCCCGGTCCCAACGCGTTATTCGGGAAAGGGTGTCTTCGAGCGGGGCGCGGAAGTTCCGTCGAACTTAATTTGCGAGCGCGGCACTTATTCAAACAGGCGCATATGGTCGACGTGGTCCACTTCCACTCGGGTCAAAAGCTTGCTGAAACATCTTGATGCAGTTGGAGTTACGTACTTGATCCCGACTGATAGTCAACGGCCCTGGGCTCCTCCGATGGGATATCAGTGCGTTTACGAGGCGTACTTCGAAAAGGACACGAAACTCTGGTTCCCGATTCCGCGACTTGTAACCTCGTATGCTGCCCGTCGCGACCTAGCCATAAGTCAATTCGTGAATGGCGCATTCCGCCTAATAATCGAGCTGCTGGTGATGGCCGCCGAGCTCAATATCGTGCTTTGTCCCCGAGCTTTCGAGGAGTTAACTTCAATCAAACCGCTGGACGATGACTTCTTCTCCATCACGATGAGGCCGAGCTACAACGTAATCACGGGGCATCCGTCAAAGACCACGGATTGGCAATGATACTACTTTTTCGTCAAGTCGGATGAGTTTTCGTTTGTCGACCACCCGGATAACGGGTCACGAGTGTCTTGGAATTGGCACGCTGGTAGATAGTAGTCCTTTCTTGTAAATGTGTTTTTGCGTGCTTACCAATTTTCTCTTCCTTGCGCAGTGAATCATCCATACTTGACCGGGGTTCCAGGCTCTTTCTACGACAACGCTCGGGCATTGGTTGAACTCGGACACCTTCGGTGGCCCGACATAAGCGAAGAACGGATACGTCGTTGGTTGAACCGCATAGACGACGGTGAGGCTTCTTGCTTTGCGTTATTCCTCCCTTTTTCCCTTCTTTAAGCGCCACACTTAACGTTTTTGCCCATCTCTGTATTTTGCGTAGGTGTGTGGGACTCGAAGTTGCCGTGCAAGAGTCGGGCTGACAAGAAACGGTCGGTGCTCTCCTCAAAGAAGGAACAAAAAGCTATTAACCGAGCACGGAAGATGAGGGGTGTGCCGGACTTGTCTCAAGAAGAAGAAGAATCAGGAGCGGGGCTTATGAACGTGCTGAATGCGTTCAACCTTGATGGGTCCGATCCCGCGGATGCCACTGCCCCTTCCACTGGTGATTTATCTAAGGCGGGGCCGACTGATCCTGTGGAGCCTAAAGGTCGTCCCGAAGGGGAAATCGTTCGGGATTCTTCGGTTGTCAAAAAACAAGCGATCTCCGATTCTCTCGCCAAGAAAAAGAGGAGAAGGAAAGAGTCTGCTGAAGAGTCCGCTGAAGGGTCAAAGCGGAGGTCGGATGGTGGCGATTCCAGTTCAAGGCCGAGTGACGGGATCGGTTCTTCTATTGCTAAGGAGCAAACTGCATCCGATCACCCCGCCAAGAAGAGGAGGAAAAAGAAGAAAGGATCCACTGAAAAACCTACTCGGGAGTCGGCCGATGGCGGGCTTGACTCCGTGGCGGGGAACGTCTCCACTCCGCAAGATGAGTTGGCGGAGCGTACCCACGTAGAGGAGACTGCAGTTGTAGACCGAGTGGTCGACGAATCTCTTCCCGGTCTTCAGGTCGGTTCGGCGGATCCATCGTCTAATTCCTTGTCCAAGGGAGAATTCGGGGGGAGGCGAGAAGGCGGTGGCTACGCCGGATCCCGTCGCGGGGCCTCTAAGCAATGTTCCTCCTCTGAGTTCCGGCCTCAGGACTTCATCTACTTCGGGAGATCGGCCGATTACTCGGAAATTCAAGACTGTCTTTCCGGATAAGGTCTCCTTCTCATACGACGAGGCGTCTCTGCTAATCTCCAATGAGCCTAAATGCGCCGAACTTGACGGTCAGATAAGAGGGGGGCCTCGCAGCCTACCGCATGCGGACCAGTTGGTTTTCCCGAATGCTTTCAAGGATGCTTCGCGAAATTTCTTGACTATTAGTACCCGTTTCCTACGGTCTGATATTAGCTCGATATACGTGTGTGTCGGCTCTTCTCCTAACTTCCCTTTGTATGTTTGTTGATTATTTCAGGCTGGGGGCAGCTTCAACTTTCTCGTCGAGAAGTATGACTCGGAGCTCAAGAGGGCATACGCCGACTCGGGCGAAGCCCGGGAGAAAGTTAAAGATGGGAAGAAGCGAATCAAATCGCTGAAAGCCTGTTTGAAGCGGGTTGAAACGGAGAAGGAGGAGGCCATTCGTCGTGCGGAGATTGAGGCGATGCAAGCCGAGGATGTCTCGAGTAGATTCAAGTCCATGAGAGATGCGGCAACTAAGGTCGAGGAGGAAAGAGCCGCTTTACTGTTGGAGAAGGCGCGGCTGGAGCGCGAAAAGCTTGAACTTATCGAGGCGCATGCGAAGGAGGCTGCTCGTTTGAGAAAGTCTCGGGTTTTCAAGGTCACTAAGGAGCGGGCTAGGGTAACCGCCGTGATGTGTCCAAAGACGTTCGTTCGACTCGAGCGGATCCGTAACCGGAAAAACTCTTTTCCGCAGTTTGATGACGCTCGGTTGCGTTACAGCCAGGCTTTCGGTACCCGAAAATGTCTTGAGCTCTTGAAGAAAAAAGGGGATCCGATTCCGCAGGAGAGAATCGACTATTTTCGTCGTAAGGAAGAGCACTGGTTTGTGGAAGCCACTCGGCTGGATGTGGGCCCTTTAACGGAGCTCGACTTGGAGGTGTCCCCGCTTGCGCTGGAGTCGGAGTTTGTCGATCAGGATTTGCTTGATTTGCTTGTAGCGGATTTATAGAAGGAGCTTCCCTCGGGTCCGCACGGCTCTAACTTGAATTTGATAAGTCCGGAGGCTGCTACGCAACTCCGTACCCCGGGTCATTCGATAGGGGATGTTAACGAAGGCACCAAGAAAGCGTCCGTCACGGGATCTTCGGAGGAGGTTGATCGCTCGGGTTCGAGAGGCTCCGGGCAGAAGGGAGTCAGCATTGTCAGTGACAAGGCAAGACCCAACCCGGTAAGTCCGGAAGAACAAAACGAACAGATCAATACTCGACCGGCAGCCGGGGTGGGGGATGAGCGGACTTAGGAGTAGTAATGATGCAATCGCTACTTTTTATTTTATTCGGGGATTGCTACCTTTTATTTTCCTTTGCTCTTTTGTCCAGTCGTCGGGGTTTGACTATGTACGGGTTTTTTGTACTCGAACAAGTTTGAATGCATTGTTCTTTTGTTGGTGTATCTCGTGCAATGGTTCATTAATTCCGAGTATATAGATTTTTTTTTTTGGGAGTTAGTCCCAAATAAATTATCGAGCATCATTCGAAGTAACGTGTTGGATACTTGGCTCTGGAGCCGAATTCCTGGTCACCAAACGTTGGTTCGAAGTAATTTTAGTTGAGGGCAAGCTCGGTTTTTACTCGGAACAAATTGCTAGAGACGTATTGTTCGGCCGTTCGAAGTAACTGATCAGTTATCAAATTCGGTCGGTAAGTACTCGTACGCTGCTTTGGACGCTCGGTTTCGAATCCGACCATGTGCAAGTGAGAGTAAGTGTTCTTTTATTTTTGACGGCTAAGGTTTTCAATAGGTCGTAAAGTTGTTCCGCCGAGCATTCGGGTGGCCATTCCCTTACTCGGGTACAATTACGAGTATGAAAATAACCATCTGCTTAAATGTAGTAGCATCGAGTTCGTCTGATCAGGACTTACTGACGCTTAGGGGTAAGTGTTCGTGCGCAGTCCGTCGTTTGCGCTAGCGAGGGCGCGAACATTACTGAGGTCTCGAGCGTAACGGATTACGCCCGGTGACGTATCGGGGTTGTGATGGGATTATAGCTGAACCCGGTTGGGCTGCCTACGTACCTCGAAAGATGATCAAGCCGTCTGTAGTTCATTGGACCGAGTAGAAGTGACTTGCACAGTGCATCTACTCGGTGAGTAGAAGTGGCCAGGAGGCGCATCTACTCGGGGATTTGGTGAGTGGAAGTGGCCGGGAGGCGCATCTACTCGGGTTCTTCTTTCTTTTTTCTGTTTTTTTTTTTTTTCTTTTAGAGAGAGGCAGAGAGGAACACATCTACTCGGTGTTGTAACGGCGGAGATGCATGGAATTCCACGCTCGAGGCACTTCTTTTCATGCTGAAGTTTCCAATCGGTAAACACCAGGTTTGATAACCCGAGTGATCTTGTATGGGCCTTCCCAGTTGGCTCCGAGTTTGCCGGCATTCGGCTCTTTGGTATTTTCGAAAACTTTGCGTAAGACGAGATCGCCTAGGGCAAGGGGTCGGGAGCCGACTTTCTTATTGTAGTAGCTCTCGATTTGATGTTGATAATTCTGTATTCGCAGTAAGGCCTGATCTCGCTTTTCCTCGATCATGTCAAGAGCGTCGAGTAACATTGTTTGGTTGAGGTCATCGGTCTGGGGCATTTTAGTGCGACGTAAACTAGCAACATTAACTTCAGCCGGCGCCATTGCTTCGACTCCGTAGGCCAAGGAGAATGGAGTAGCTTTGGTTGCGCCTCGAGGGGTAGTTCGGTGCGACCATAGCACGCCATCTAATTCGTCGGCCCAACAACCTTTTTTTGGTCGAGTCGTTTCTTGATTCCGTCGATTATAGCTTTGTTGGAGGACTCGGCCTGACCGTTGCTTTGTGGGTAACGCGGGGTTGACATGTTGAGGCGGATACGCCATTTGTCGCAAAAATCTCGGAAGTGTTGAGAGATGAACTGAGAGCCGTTATCCGTTACGATTTCGTAGGGTAGACCGTGGCGGCATATAATATTCTTCCAGACAAATTTTTGGACTTCTCTGTCGGTAATCCTGGTGTAAGCCTCGGCTTCGATCCATTTGGTGAAGTAATCAGTCAGAACAAGAATGAAGCGTCGCTGTCTCGAACTCGGCATAGGGCCGATTATGTCCATTCCCCAACGCATGAACGGGTAAGGGGCGGTCATGGTACGGAGCATCTCAGTCGGGGAGTGGATAGTTGGTGCGTGTCGTTGACACTTGTCGCTGCGCAGGGCGTAGGATATGCAGTCGGCTGTCATCGTTGGCCAATAAAAACCAAGGTTTTTGATCTTAATCGCGAGGGCTCGACCACCAGAATGGTTTCCTGCTGCGCCTTCGTGAGTCCCCGCCACGACTAATCTCGTCTCGTCGCCGTGTATACACTTGGGCAAGACTCTGTTCGTGGCGACGCGGTGTAGTCGACCGTCGATGATCACGTAACTTGTACTTTTTGCCTTAATACGCCGTGCCTTCCATTTGTCGAGTGGCAGGGTTCCATCCCGAAGGAAGTTGTGTAGCTCGGTTCGCCAATCGGTAGTCGCGTCGTTTGTGTCGCTTTTCGGGATCGTGTGCACCGAATCATCATCGTGCGTGTCTTCCATGAGGTAATCTTCTGCGGCGCGTGCAGAGGCGCGCGTTCGTACAGCCGCCACCGGTTTGCCGATAGTTGGGTCGATGCTGGGTTCTTCGATCCTGTGTATTAGAATTGTGCGCTTTACTTAATCCCGTATCTTGCTCCCCAAGGTGGCGAGGGCGTCGGCGCAAATGTTCTCTCCCCGCGGGACTTTGATGAGTTCAAAGAATTCGAATTCCCGAGACAAGGTTTTGACCAGCTGGAGGTATGCATTCATGCGGTCGTTCCGAGTGTCGTACTCGCCGCTGAACTGACTCGTCACTAACTGCGAGTCGGAGTAAGCACTGAGACGTCTTGCGTTGACCACCTTTGCCAACCGAAGGCCCGCGATTAGGGATTCGTATTCGGCCTCGTTGTTTGATGTTGGGAAACCGAAACTGAACGATTGCCGAATGAGTTCGCCTGTCGGGGACTGGAGTTGCACACCGGCACCCGAACCTTGATTGGTAGCTGATCCGTCAACGTGGAGTATCCAGTTTCCCTGTGGCAGTGCGAGTTCCTGGGTGAGTTCTTCTTCGAGATCTTTCGGTAGCTCGATAATAAAATCGGCGAAAACTTGAGACTTGGCGTGGGGCGTCCTTTGAATACAACGTCGTGCTCGCTTAACTCGATTGCCCATTTTAACAGTCGGCCCGACTGATTGATATTCTGCATGACAGTTTGGAGAGGGTAATTTGTTAGGACTTCGACTGTGTGGGATTGGAAATACGGTCGGAGCTTTCTCGCGGAGGTGATTACTGCTAGAGCCATTTTCTCGAGCGCCAGGTAGCGCATCTCGGGTTCGGTCATACGCTTACTATTATAGAATATCGACATCTATTCACCGCGATCGTCTTTAATCAGAACGCTGCTGACTGCGGTTTCCGACACTGCGATGTAAAGGGACATGATATCGCCGGACTCGGGTTTCGAGAGGACCGGTGGCGTGGTTAGGTATTGTTTTAACTGTGCAAATGCCTCTTCACAGTTTTCGTCCCAGACGAAACGCTTGTTTCCACGCAGGAGTTCGTAGAACGTAAGACACTTGTCTGTTGATCGGGAGATGAACCTGTTGAGGGCTGCAATACGGCCGGTTAGGCGCTGGACTTCGCGACTGTTTCTCGGGCTGGGAAGGTCGAGGATCGCCGAGATATGTTTGGGGTTAGCTTCGATTCCTCTCTGTGTTACGATGTACCCGAGGAATTCGCCGGAGGTAACCCCGAATGTGCACTTGGCCGGGTTTAACTTCATGCCATACTCGTTCAGCGTCCGGAAGCATTCCGCAAGGTGCTTCGGATGGTCTGGGGCGAGAAGTGATTTTACCAGCATATCGTCGATGTAGACTTCCATTGTGCGACCGAGATCATTCGCAAACATTTTGTTGATGAGACGTTGGTACGTCGCCCCGGCGTTTTTGAGCCCAAAAGGCATAACTTTGTAGCAGTAGGTCCCTCTATCTGTGATGAACGCGGTTTTCTCTCGGTCATCCGGTGCATAGAGATTTGGTTTTATCCCGAAAATGCGTCCATGAACGTTAGCAGCTCATTTCCGGCCGTCGATTCCACCAAGCGATCGATGTGGGGGAGTGGGAAGCTGTCCTTCGGGCAGGCCTTGTTAAGACCGGTAAAATCGACGCAAACGCGCCACTTGCCGTTTTTCTTCTTGACGACAACTGGGTTGGCTAGCCACTCGGGATACCGAACTTCCGTAATTGAACCGGCTGCGAGTAAGCGTTCGACTTCCTCGTTTACCGCCTTGGAACGTTCGGGTCCCAGTTTTCGCCTCTTCTACCTGATGGGCTTGAAGGTTGGATCGACGTTCAGCTGATGTGAGGTGATAGAGGGATCAATTCCCTTCATGTCGGACGTCTCCCAAGCAAAGGTCGATTGATTTGCTCGCAAAAAATCGACGATGTCGCGCTTCATTTCGTCAGGCAGGTAGGCACCAATTCGGACTACTTTGCTCGGATTACTGTCATCGAGTTGAACCTCTTGGATTTCTTCTTTTTGGGGATAGATTTTGTGGATTAGTTTGGCGAACATTACTGAGGTCTCGAGCGTAACGGATTACGCCCGGTGACGTATCGGGGTTGTGATGGGATTACAGCTGAACCCGGTTGGGCTGCCTACGTACCTCGAAAGAGGATCAAGCCGTCCGTAGTTCATTGGACCGAGTAGAAGTGACTTGCACAGTGCATCTACTCGGTGAGTAGAAGTGGCCAGTAGGCGCATCTACTCGGGGATTTGGTGAGTGGAAGTGGCCGGGAAAAAAATGGTGTTTTTTTTGTAGAATCATAACAAAAAAGTGAAATCACCAGAGACATCAGAGAAACCCAGAAACAAGGATCAGTTCAAATTGAGAACTTTAGGAGAGCTGAGATCCTAAATCGGATCGGAGAATTTGATTGAAAAAGTCGTATTTCAAGTTGCGTGAGAGACACGGATCTCGCCAAGAGAAAATCGAACAGAAGAGAGTAAGGGTAACATTATCTTTTGATCATTAATGAATATGTGTATTTATGAAAATGTTCCTTGATTGATGGTGAAGTTGAATAGTGGTATCAAATAAAGTGCATTAGTAGAATTTTCCCTTAAACTTTTTAAAAAACTTATTTTTTATTTTCTAAACTGTAACACGTGATTTGATTATATTGTATAATTGATTAATAAGGCTATATAAATAATTATATATCTCTTTATAATCTCTTATTTATTATTTATAAAATTTGTAGATACTTTTACAAAGATTTTATTAATAACTTTACAGACATTTATCCTTTTTTAAAAAATTATAAATTTTACCTACTTTAAGAGCTTTTTTATAAATTATTTTCAAGTATTTAGTGACAAAACCCTTACCTATAAGTCTATTACCTCTTAACCATTTTCTGTTCAAGATAGATGAAACTATTGATAGAGGGTGAAATATAATACAGTTTGTAAGTTAAAAGTTTAAAATCTTAAAATATTAGTTGAATGGTTTTGTTTTTCAAAAATAGTTTAGGGGTTTTATTCAATGTTTTCATACTGATCTAGGTCTAGGATTGAAACTGATATTATTTCTAAAAAAACTGATAGAACCCTATATGAAACTGATAATATTTTTTTAAAAAATTGATTTAACTACAAATATACTTTTAATATTACATAAAACTGAATTAATTGTTTGATTTGAGTTTTTTTAGACTTTGATAAAAAAATTTACTATGACATTTGAGGAAAATGATCATAGAAAACCAAAGTTATGAGACGAAGAAGATGGAGCTTGTGGGAGTCGATTTCACCCCACTGTCAAATAAATCGTAAATAAGGAAACTTTGGGAAAACCCTAAGTTTCCAGAGGAACCAGCTATCTGCGAGAACCGCACAACGAAATAAGAAAACGATAACTTAGAATTTAAATGAGAATAAACGAAAATAGAGAGTAAAGAGGTTCTTATTCCGAATCTGCGTTGAACTGGTACAAAGAGAGTAGCCGAAAACGTAAGAACTAGAAAACCCTAATTGAGACGCAGCTCGCTAACGGAAAAACGGGAAGATTCCTAAATGCTAGTTTTGGTGGTGAGAGCTCTGAATTTCGTCTCTGTGCTTCTGCCCTAGACCTCCTCTTTATATACTCCTCGTCTTGGCTATCCGATCTTTCCATTTCGCCCAGATTTGCCTAAATCGGGAATTTTCCATTCTTCTCGATCCTTCATTTTCTTCTGCGGAAATCTTCTATTTCTCTTCAAACCTTCCTTTTATC